AACGAACGATCAGTAAACTGCAGAGACGTGTTTGTGTGTGTGCGCGTATGTGAAAAAGAGATCGGCAAAAACGTATGTATGTGCAGTAGCGGAAAACTCGGGAAAAGAAAATCGGCAAAACGACGCCGAGAAAGAAACGTTAAAATTTAAAAAATACAAAAACTAAAAACAGTGTTGCAAGAGTTCTCAAAAAATAAATGAACGGATTAAGCTGTACAAAGTAAAAAAAAAAAAATGAGTTACGCAAACATAACGAGAAGGAACGTGTGAGTCGCTTCTGGGGACGCGACTCTACTTATACCCGTACTCAGTCAGTATATACATTTTTGAGCTTATGATTTTTTAGAATTTTAGAAAAAAAAAATTTAACATTTTACATTTTTTTGCTACATCTGCTATCTTTGAAATTTTTTTGAAATACACTTGTAGCAGTGTGATATCAAATGAGTCTGGAAACAAAATTTGGTTTTTCTAGCTTTTATAGTCTCTGAGATCCAGCCGGCAAACAAGACGGACAGACGGACAGACAGACATGGCTCTATCGACTCGGCTATTGATGCTGATCAAGAATATATATACTTTATGGGGTCGGAAAATTTTTCTTCTCTGCGTTACACACATCCACTTTTACCACAAATCTAATATACCCCTTAACTCTTTTTTGAGTACGGGAATAAAAATAGCTCCCCTCGGAAGGGAAAATTATGATACATGGAAAATACAGGTGCAAGCCCTTTTAATTAAAAACGATTTATGGAAATATGTGAACGGACAGTGTGTAAAATCAGTTTGTGCCGATGGACAAACTGAGTGGGACACAAATGATGGTAAAGCAAAATCAGACTTAATTTTGTCAATCGCAACGACAGAATTAAGACAAATAAAAAATTGTACCACATCAAAAGAACTATGGGAAAAACTGGAAAGTGTGTATCAATCAAAAGGTCCGGCGCGAAAGGCGCATTTATTAAAATCGCTTATATTACTAAAAATGCAAAACGGTGAAGACATGCACAGTCATCTACAAAAGTTTTTTGACATTCTGGACAAAATAAATGAAATGAACATGCAAATAATGGATGATCTCGTTACAGTATTATTGTTGTACAGTGTAACCGAAGAATACGAACAATTTAGAACCGCGATAGAAACGCAGGACAAATTACCTGCTGAAATAATTTTCAGTAAACAAAACGTGAGTCGAATATTTAATCCATGTATATCTTGTGCATCCTTTGGTTTCAGCCTTCCAGTAGTATATACATATATTAAACAGAATGTAAGGTTTCCTTTTATGTTTGTATTTATTCGTATTTTGTATTTTATTAGCACTGCGCTTGCCGTCAATAATATAAAAATATAATTCTTCCTCAATACGTCCACACAGCTCAGAAGTCAGAAGAAGAAGAGAACGATATTATACAAGTGTGACCGTATATCGATATTAAGAAAAAGACAAATTATTATTCATTAAGAATATAATGTTTTTGTTACTAATATCGATAACATTGAAATATACTATATTCAATTTGATATTTTAACACACCTCCTCAAAAATATTATATTCTTTATCACTGGTTACATATTTACGTTAAAACAAGGCAGGCTATTATGGGAGTTAACATATAGTCCAGCATTTGCTGCGAGGATTAGGGAAAACCCATAAAAAACTAATCAAACCATTTCAAATTAAAATTACGTTAAACAATTATATCAGTTCAAAAATTAAGCAATAAAAAAAAATATTTGTGTAGTCTCTCCATGAGATCAATTAAGTGTTTCATCTTCAGTTCATTAGACCCATTTGATTTCTCAGTTCAATGAATCGTGGTGCTGGCAAATGTCTTCGTCAATAAGTCTGCGATTTGTTTATCTATTGGAATATAAAAAAGATTTATAAAATTCTTCTCAACTTGTTCCCTTGTAAAATGATATTTTATATCTATATGTTTGGAGCGTTTATGACATGAGGGGTTATTGGCAATACTTATGCAACCTTGGTTGTCTTCATATAACTTAATTGGATTTGTTAATTCTATTTTTAAACTTGCTAGCAAGGATTTTAGCCAAATAGCCTCTCGAACAGCTTCAAACAAAGCCATATATTCTGCTTCTGTTGATGAAGCAGCTACAGAACTCTGTTTTCTTGTGTTCCAACAAATTACGTTAGATTCAAACATTTTGAATAGGTATCCAGTTGTGCTTCTTCTATCTAATTCACTCCCACCCCAGTCTGAATCTACATAGCCTATAAAATAATTATTTATTTGTACTGCTTTCTGAAAAGTTAATTTCAAATCAATTGTTCCTTTAAGGTACCTTAAAACTCTTTTTAAGCATTGCCAAAGTTCACTATTATTCTTTTCACAATAGCGACTTAAAAGATTTACAGAAGTGCTTAGGTTTGGTCTTGTACATAACATTACATACATTAAACATCCTATTAAATTTCGACAAGGAGCATCACACTTGTCATCTGAGTTTAACGCTATATGATTTAATTTACTTGGAAGAGGACAGTTTACTGGATTGCATTTATCCATATTAAATTTTAAAATTATATTTTGTATATATGCAACTTGACTTAAACTTATTTGACTATCATGTCTATCGACTTTGATTCCTAAGAAAAATTTTATTTCCTTTAAATCAGTCATTCTAAATTGATTCATCAAATATGTTTTAAAATCATTTATAGTTTTTAAACTTTTAGTGGATATTACTAAATCATCTACATATAAAAGAACATATATATTGGTAGTTATATCACCTTTATCAAGAAGGTAAATACAACGATCTACAGATGAATTTACAAAACCTATTTCCTTTAATGCATTCTCAAACATATCAAACCAACACCTTGCAGCTTGTTTGAGACCATATATTGCTTTATGTAGTTTACAGACTTGATTTTCTTTAGCTATTAGACCTTCAGGTATTTTCATGTATATCTGTTCTTTTAAAATACCATTCAAAAATGCTGTTTTTACATCCATGTGATGTACTTCAAGGTCATATTGATTAGAAAAAGACATAATTAATCTAAAACTTGTGATTCTTGCTACAGGAGCAAAAGTCTCATTATAATCGATTAAATATTCTTGCGTAAAGCCTCGGGCTACTAGTCTTGCTTTATATTTTATTGGCTCACCGAATTCATTCTGCTTAATTGTAAAAACCCATTTACAATCCACAATATTTTTGTTTTCAAGCTTTTGAACAATTGACCATGTTTTGTTTATTAAATGTGAGCTTAGTTCTTCTTTAACAGCTTCTTCCCAGTGTTCTCTATCTTTATTATATTTTATCTCCTCAAATTTATTGGGAGTTGAATATAATAAAGTCTGTGCATTCATTACACAATTATTTATTAAATCTTGATAAGACACTTTTGGTTTCTCTTTTAACCTTTCACTTTTTCTAATATTTATCTGCGAGTCCAACATTACGTTATCATTACCTTCATTTGGTAAAATATCACCAGACACTTCTGGATCGGCATTTTCTAATATTGCTTCCACTCCACTAGGCTGTTCTTCTGACTTATCAGAATTTTCTTCCAAAGTTTCCAAACTGAAACTTTCACCATCTTCATCATTAAGATGCATGGCATTTTCAACAACAGCTCTAGATTTACACATGTTTGTTTCGTCAACAATAACATCTCTTGCTATTACAAATTTTTCAGTTTCCACATTCCATACTCTATAACCATTTGATTCATAACCAACAAGTATACCTTTCCATGATTTTTCATCGAATTTTCTTTTCCTTATTTTAATATGGACATATACTGTTGAACCAAATACCTTTAAGTATTTCAAGCACGGCTTTTTGTTGTGCCACATTTCGTATGGTGTCTTCATGCATTCTCTCAATGCATTACTTGGGCTCCTATTTATTAGATAGGTAGCTGTCAGCACAGCTTCACCCCAGAAACTTTTCTGAAGGTCTGCCCCTATAACCAGAGAACGAGCTTTCTCTGTAATTGTTCTTATCATCCTTTTCGGAAACACCATTTAACTGAGGTGTATGTGGAACTGTCAAGTGGTAGCTGATGCCTTTTTCTACGCAAAATTCTCGCATTTCATTTGATAAATATTCTCGCCCATTATCTATGTATAAATTTACTACTTTCAAATTAAAATGTGCCTCAGCCTTTAAAATAAAATCTTTAAAAACAGCAAACACATCAGACTTGTAAGTTAATAAGTACGTACCACAGTAATGTGTATACTGGTCAATAAAAACAACGTAGTAATTCTTTCTATCTACTGTTGTTGGTGAAATTGGACCACACACGTCCGAATGAATAACAAACAGTGGCCTATTTATGTGATCTTTATTTTTAAATTTTTCAAACTGGAGTCTAGCTTGTTTTCCTTTAATACAACTCTCACATAGCTCTTCACTGGGTTGAATATTGTTTAAAATATAAGAATCCTCAAATAAATTTGTATGTTTTATTTCTAGAAATTTGCCTTTGCTTATATGCCCCAACCTCTCATGCCATAAGCTATAATTTATTTTATTAGATGCAAATGCTTGCTTAGGTATTGTAAACCTAACAGACGGAACATTATCAAAATAATGTGCATTCATAATATTAATTTCTTCTTTACTTACAAGTACACCTCCTGGGTGGAATACAACAGTAAAGCCAGCATCTTGCATCTTCTTAACAGATATTAAATTTTGTGTGACTTCAGGACAAAATAATACATTTTGTAGGGTTATTGGGGTCATTGTATCAGTAATTAGGTTTATAGTTCCCATCTTTGTAGCAAGAATATATTCGTTTGATTTTGCTACAGCAATTTTAATTGGCGATTCAAGTGAATTGACGTTTGATAAAAGACTTTCATTATTAATTATATGATCTGATTCACCCGAATCTAATAAAAATGAAATTTCGTTATTGCTATTGTTATTATGACGCTTTAACATGAATGCGAACCCGGAATTGCGAACTGGTTCATTTTGGCCTTGTGCCATTTGCGCTTGTCTTTCTTGATTGTTTTCCATTTCTTTCTTGTATTTAAAGCAATCCTTTTTGATATGTCCAGTCTTGCCACAATGGTAACATTTTAATTTATTAAATTTGTTTTTAGACTTAAACTGAATTTTATTTTGGAAATTTGTTTTATTTTGAAAATTATTAAATTTATTAACTTTATTCACTGCATGTAATACTTTAAGACTTGTGTCTTTTGAGGACTGTTTTAGTTTTATTTCGTGATCTAAAAGTCTATTTTTAACGAATGCTAAAGTCAAATTATTTTCTGCTAATGTTTCAATGGCAGTAATGACGCCATCATAAGAAGAAGGTAGAGACAGCAGTAAATGGCTCACCTTGTCCATTTCGTCCAGCTTTGCGCCAGATGCGATCAACTCTGTTATAAGGTCATCAAAAACTGTAAAATGGTTTACTAATACCATTTCGCCTTTTAATTTTAATGACAGCAATTGTTTTCTGAGAGACAATTGGCTGGCTAAACTTTTTCTCTCATAAATTTTATCTAAATTTGCAAATATTTCTTTAGCACTACATTCACTTGTGGCAAAACTCAAAAAGGAATCACTTAAATATTCAATTATTGTATTCTTGGCTGATATTTCAAGCTTTTTCCATACATCGGATGCACCATCACAAACTTCATCAATCACTTTTATGGTATCGTTTTCGCTCAATAATGCCCTAATGCGAAATTTCCAAATTGCGTACTTTTCCCCGTCGAATGGTTTAATATTTCTTTTTGCCTTTTCCATTCTGTTATTAACAAAAAAAAAGAATATGAAATATTGTACTTATCTGAAATGGTAGGCTGGGCCCATAACCTGTTTAAATAATTTTCAGTAAACAAAACGTGAGTCGAATATTTAATCCGTGTATATCTTGTGCATCCTTTGGTTTCAGCCTTCCAGTAGTATATACATATATTAAACAGAATGTAAGGTTTCCTTTTATGTTTGTATTTATTCGTATTTTGTATTTTATTAGCACTGCGCTTGCCGTCAATAATATAAAAATATAATCCTTCCTCAATACGTCCACACAGCTCAGAAGTCAGAAGAAGAAGAGAACGATATTATACAAGTGTGACCGTATATCGATATTAAGAAAAAGACAAATTATTATTCATTAAGAATATAATGTTTTTGTTACTAATATCGATAACATTGAAATATACTATATTCAATTTGATATTTTAACACACCTCCTCAAAAATATTATATTCTTTATCACTGGTTACATATTTACGTTAAAACAAGGCAGGCTATTATGGGAGTTAACATATAGTCCAGCATTTGCTGCGAGGATTAGGGAAAACCCATAAAAAACTAATCAAACCATTTCAAATTAAAATTACGTTAAACAATTATATCAGTTCAAAAATTAAGCAATAAAAAAAAATATTTGTGTAGTCTCTCCATGAGATCAATTAAGTGTTTCATCTTCAGTTCATTAGACCCATTTGATTTCTCAGTTCAATGAATCGTGGTGCTGGCAATGTCTTCGTCAATAAGTCTGCGATTTGTTTATCTGTTGGAATATAAACAAGATTTATCAAATTCTTCTCAACTTGTTCCCTTGTAAAATGATATTTTATATCTATATGTTTGGAGCGTTTATGACATGAGGGGTTATTGGCAATACTTATGCAACCTTGGTTGTCTTCATATAACTTAATTGGATTTGTTAATTCTATTTTTAAACTTGCTAGCAAGGATTTTAGCCAAATAGCCTCTCGAACAGCTTCAAACAAAGCCATATATTCTGCTTCTGTTGATGAAGCAGCTACAGAACTCTGTTTTCTTGTGTTCCAACAAATTACGTTAGATTCAAACATTTTGAATAGGTATCCAGTTGTGCTTCTTCTATCTAATTCACTCCCACCCCAGTCTGAATCTACATAGCCTATAAAATAATTATTTATTTGTACTGCTTTCTGAAAAGTTAATTTCAAATCAATTGTTCCTTTAAGGTACCTTAAAACTCTTTTTAAGCATTGCCAAAGTTCACTATTATTCTTTTCACAATAGCGACTTAAAAGATTTACAGAAGTGCTTAGGTCTGGTCTTGTACATAACATTACATACATTAAACATCCTATTAAATTTCGACAAGGAGCATCACACTTGTCATCTGAGTTTAACGCTATATGATTTAATTTACTTGGAAGAGGACAGTTTACTGGATTGCATTTATCCATATTAAATTTTAAAATTATATTTTGTATATATGCAACTTGACTTAAACTTATTTGACTATCATGTCTATCGACTTTGATTCCTAAGAAAAATTTTATTTCCTTTAAATCAGTCATTCTAAATTGATTCATCAAATATGTTTTAAAATCATTCATAGTTTTTAAACTTTTAGTGGATATTACTAAATCATCTACATATAAAAGAACATATATATTGGTAGTTATATCACCTTTATCAAGAAGGTAAATACAACGATCTACAGATGAATTTACAAAACCTATTTCCTTTAATGCATTCTCAAACATATCAAACCAACACCTTGCAGCTTGTTTGAGACCATATATTGCTTTATGTAGTTTACAGACTTGATTTTCTTTAGCTATTAGACCTTCAGGTATTTTCATGTATATCTGTTCTTTTAAAATACCATTCAAAAATGCTGTTTTTACATCCATGTGATGTACTTCAAGGTCATATTGATTAGAAAAAGACATAATTAATCTAAAACTTGTGATTCTTGCTACAGGAGCAAAAGTCTCATTATAATCGATTAAATATTCTTGCGTAAAGCCTCGGGCTACTAGTCTTGCTTTATATTTTATTGGCTCACCGAATTCATTCTGCTTAATTGTAAAAACCCATTTACAATCCACAATATTTTTGTTTTCAAGCTTTTGAACAATTGACCATGTTTTGTTTATTAAATGTGAGCTTAGTTCTTCTTTAACAGCTTCTTCCCAGTGTTCTCTATCTTTATTATATTTTATCTCCTCAAATTTATTGGGAGTTGAATATAATAAAGTCTGTGCATTCATTACACAATTATTTATTAAATCTTGATAAGACACTTTTGGTTTCTCTTTTAACCTTTCACTTTTTCTAATATTTATCTGCGAGTCCAACATTACGTTATCATTACCTTCATTTGGTAAAATATCACCAGACACTTCTGGATCGGCATTTTCTAATATTGCTTCCACTCCACTAGGCTGTTCTTCTGACTTATCAGAATTTTCTTCCAAAGTTTCCAAACTGAAACTTTCACCATCTTCATCATTAAGATGCATGGCATTTTCAACAACAGCTCTAGATTTACACATGTTTGTTTCGTCAACAATAACATCTCTTGCTATTACAAATTTTTCAGTTTCCACATTCCATACTCTATAACCATTTGATTCATAACCAACAAGTATACCTTTCCATGATTTTTCATCGAATTTTCTTTTCCTTATTTTAATATGGACATATACTGTTGAACCAAATACCTTTAAGTATTTCAAGCACGGCTTTTTGTTGTGCCACATTTCGTATGGTGTCTTCATGCATTCTCTCAATGCATTACTTGGGCTCCTATTTATTAGATAGGTAGCTGTCAGCACAGCTTCACCCCAGAAACTTTTCTGGAGGTCTGCCCCTTAACCGCGAGCTTTCTCTGTAATTGTTCTTATCATCCTTTCGGAAACACCATTTAACTGAGGTGTATGTGGAACTGTCAAGTGGTAGCTGATGCCTTTTTCTACGCAAAATTCTCGCATTTCATTTGATAAATATTCTCGCCCATTATCTATGTATAAATTTACTACTTTCAAATTAAAATGTGCCTCAGCCTTTAAAATAAAATCTTTAAAAACAGCAAACACATCAGACTTGTAAGTTAATAAGTACGTAACACAGTAATGTGTATACTGGTCAATAAAAACAACGTAGTAATTCTTTCTATCTACTGTTGTTGGTGAAATTGGACCACACACGTCCGAATGAATAACAAACAGTGGCCTATTTATGTGATCTTTATTTTTAAATTTTTCAAACTGGAGTCTAGCTTGTTTTCCTTTAATACAACTCTCACATAGCTCTTCACTGGGTTGAATATTGTTTAAAATATAAGAATCCTCAAATAAATTTGTATGTTTTATTTCTAGAAATTTGCCTTTGCTTATATGCCCCAACCTCTCATGCCATAAGCTATAATTTATTTTATTAGATGCAAATGCTTGCTTAGGTATTGTAAACCTAACAGACGGAACATTATCAAAATAATGTGCATTCATAATATTAATTTCTTCTTTACTTACAAGTACACCTCCTGGGTGGAATACAACAGTAAAGCCAGCATCTTGCATCTTCTTAACAGATATTAAATTTTGTGTGACTTCAGGACAAAATAATACATTTTGTAGGGTTATTGGGGTCATTGTATCAGTAATTAGGTTTATAGTTCCCATCTTTGTAGCAAGAATATATTCGTTTGATTTTGCTACAGCAATTTTAATTGGCGATTCAAGTGAATTGACGTTTGATAAAAGACTTTCATTATTAATTATATGATCTGATGCACCCGAATCTAATAAAAATGAAATTTCGTTATTGCTATTGTTATTATGACGCTTTAACATGAATGCGAACCCGGAATTGCGAACTGGTTCATTTTGGCCTTGTGCCATTTGCGCTTGTCTTTCTTGATTGTTTTCCATTTCTTTCTTGTATTTAAAGCAATCCTTTTTGATATGTCCAGTCTTGCCACAATGGTAACATTTTAATTTATTAAATTTGTTTTTAGACTTAAACTGAATTTTATTTTGGAAATTTGTTTTATTTTGAAAATTATTAAATTTATTAACTTTATACACTGCATGTAATACTTTAAGACTTGTGTCTTTTCAGGACTGTTTTAGTTTTATTTCGTGATCTAAAAGTCTATTTTTAACGAATGCTAAAGTCAAATTATTTTCTGCTAATGTTTCAATGGCAGTAATGACGCCATCATAAGAAGAAGGTAGAGACAGCAGTAAATGGCTCACCTTGTCCATTTCGTCCAGCTTTGCGCCAGATGCGATCAACTCTGTTATAAGGTCATCAAAAACTGTAAAATGGTTTACTAATACCATTTCGCCTTTTAATTTTAATGACAGCAATTGTTTTCTGAGAGACAATTGGCTGGCTAAACTTTTTCTCTCATAAATTTTATCTAAATTTGCAAATATTTCTTTAGCACTACATTCACTTGTGGCAAAACTCAAAAAGGAATCACTTAAATATTCAATTATTGTATTCTTGGCTGATATTTCAAGCTTTTTCCATACATCGGATGCACCATCACAAACTTCATCAATCACTTTTATGGTATCGTTTTCGCTCAATAATGCCCTTATGCGAAATTTCCAAATTGCGTACTTTTCCCCGTCGAATGGTTTAATATTTCTTTTTGCCTTTTCCATTCTGTTATTAACAAAAAAAAAGAATATGAAATATTGTACTTATCTGAAATGGTAGGCTGGGCCCATAACCTGTTGAAATAATTTTCAGTAAACAAAACGTGAGTCGAATATTTAATCCGTGTATATCTTGTGCATCCTTTGGTTTCAGCCTTCCAGTAGTATATACATATATTTAACAGAATGTAAGGTTTCCTTTTATGTTTGTATTTATTCGTATTTTGTATTTTATTAGCACTGCGCTTGTCTTCAATAATATAAAAATATAATCCTTTCTCAATACGTCCACACAGCTCAGAAGTCAGAAGAAGAAGAGAACGATATTATACAAGTGTGACCGTATATCGATATTAAGAAGAAGACAAATTATTATTCATTAAGAATATAATGTTTTTGTTACTAATATCGATAATATTGAATATACTATATTCAAATTGATATTTTTAACATTACCTAATCAAGATGCCTTAAAAACAAAAATGATAGAAGAATACGAGCCGCGTAAACTAAAAAATGTTGAAACACTACAAGACGCAATGTATACAAGAAAGTATGGACAAAAATACCAAAACAAAAATCAATTTGGAAAGCTTAAGTGCTTTAATTGTGGAAAAACTGGCCACAAGGCCAAAGAGTGTAGATCGAAAATAAAGTCTAAAGAAAACTGATTTGAAGACAGAGATACCGCAAAAAGCAACGCGGCGGCAAAAAGCAGGTGCGACATCGCATATGTGCGCTCAAAAAGAACA